AATTTAATTTAATTTATTAGCTTTGCCCCTAGTATGGGCAGGGACACCGCAACAGCGTGAGCCAATTACTGCGGGCCCTGTACTCTCACACTCACTACCTCTACATTAAGTATTTTAGCACACCACACTCCTCACATGTTGATTTTTACTGAGGGAGGAAAACCGGAGGACCCGGAGAAAAACCCTCGTGGCAAGGGAGAGAACACATCAAACAAACTCAAACTCACATATGGTCCGTGCCCGGGAATCGAACCCGGACCACAGCGGTGAGAGGCAAGCAGATTAACCACTAGGCCACCCATGCCACCCATATCAATGTTAAATGACACAGGTTAAAATAGATTCAAGCATTGGAATAAAGATTTCTATTTTGTTAAACTTCAGTTTGTGTTTTTGTGCTTTTGTATTTTTGACTACAAGTTTCAATCCTGTTTATGGTTTGACATCAGGTGTTGAGGCCAAGACCAAGAAAATTGGGCTTAGGTGAGTCAATCAAACACTCTTATTCATCTAGATTCTTAATACCATGACACAGTTTTCCAAATCAACAAGACCATTCACAGGAAGTCATTCTAAGTCAGTAATTGTCTTTACATCATTTAAAAAGATGCAATGTACGTTTCAACTAAGTTATTTTCCTTTCCAAGGAACCGCATATGTACATGGTATGAAGCACTCAACAGGAAATTTTATCATTATTATGGATGCTGATTTATCTCATCATGTAAGTACCCTTCCCTCCATTTGTAAAAGATGGAAAGTACTCTCCCCTCCCTTCTGGAAAAATAACCACCCCATGACGACTTCACACCGATCTAAATGTGTCTCCATAAATTAACGATTTACCCCCCGCGAACCGCWCGAAGAAGCKGTCTGCGGGKGGTGTTTATGTAAATCACTATCACGTTGCCATGGAACTAACAAATAAAACCTTGCAGAAAGAGTCTCTTYTCAAACCAGTTTTATTAAGTTTATCAATCAATCGTTMTGCAAATTACCGCTTTACAAAATCATTTACGAAGGAGAAGCACTCTGAATTAGAATTCAGAGTCTAATAAGCCATCTAAAGTACGATTGAAAAAAAAACAAACAAACATATTCGCGTCGTTCTTTGCCATCGGAAAGTTGAGTTTCGAGTTATCTGATTGTTTCGCTTCCCTTCTATGATCGAAACAAACTAAAATATTCGCGACGAATTGACATCGAAAGTTTGTAAACTTAAAAGTTTCGACCGACATCATTGTTGACAATCTAGAAGGAGAAAAGTAGCGTTTGATGGGAAGCAAACTAGCGAGTTATCTGAGTGTTTCGTTTCTCTTCTTCGTATTGCTTTCCAAAGTCTTTACCTCTATACTCGAGATATATAAAYTTACGAAAGAATCAAAACTTTAACAATTCAAATAAAAAATACACCGCTCAAGCGATCAATGAGTCGGTATTAAACGTTTTTCATAGTTTGTGTTCTCAATTTGGCAAACTTTCCACACGCCGTCTTCATCAAGCGTTTCAGCTCGATAACTCTGTTTTGATGTAATGAAACATATTTGTCGTGAAATTTAATACTTCGATGAAGTCATGTATAAAGTGCTCGAATTTGACAGCCGTGTTTACACTGTTGACTTGACAACCGTTAGACAATAAAACCGGTTTTATCTCGTTTCTTCGCATTGTGCATGCGCTGAATTCATAATTAGAACTGTTCACAATGACACACTTAGATCGGTGTGAAGTCGTAATGCTCCCATCCCCTACTGTACCAATCCTTCCCTTCTAGTGGATAGTAATGTAAGTACCCACACCTCCACTGGTGGAAAGTAATGTAAGTTCCCTCTCTTCCCCCTGGTAATTAAGTATCCTTCCATCCCCTGCTGATAGGTAACGTTAAACCCATCCCCCTCCTAGTGGAAGTAATGTAAGGAGGTAAGTAGTCACATGTCCACTGTTTGGAAGTAAAGTGAGTACCCTCCCCTCTCTTGCTAGAAGATGAAACTCGGAGATGCTGGCAGGCTCTCAGAAGAACTTCTTGTCCTGATTTGATACTTCTTCAATAGCTTGCTAAATGAATGTTTCTTTTTATTTTCAGCCTAAATTCATCCCTGAGTTTATAAGGTAATTGTTTTAATAATAGTGGATAACGAGGTCATTAAAACTTGATAACAGCAATATTTGCCCAAATACTGTA